TGCCAGCTGCTGGCACGGCCCAACAGGTGGTTTTGAATTGGTTTGGATTAGGAAATGTTTATTCAGTGCCCTGCGCGCCGGCGGGGGCCTCTGGGGAGCCGAGTCGCTCCTCGGGGAGAGGATTCCTGTGCAGGATTTCCCACTTGTTGGAACAACACCAACTGCATCTCCAGCCGAAGCTTTCCTCTGTGTATTTCACGGAGTTTGATGATTTTGGAGCACCTGCCGTCAGGTCTGTCCTGAATTAAATTCTTTCCAGGAACCTGGTGCTCCCCTCCCAGGATGCCAGACCTTACCCCACAGCATTTACGGCGCTGAACTGCCCTGAGGCTCCTCCCAGCCCCTCATCCTCAGCCCTGAGCACAGATGAGCCCCCCAGGTGTCATCCCAGCAATTCCTCCCCCAGCACAGGCTCTGGGTCCTGCTCCATGGTGGAGGCATTGGATTTTGTGGTTATGAGTTCATTTCCATCAATATGAAAATGCTGTGTGAGTCCAGAGAGTTAATCACTACTGTGGGGGAATAAAGAGCAGAGATTTCCTCTAATCCCCTTTAAATGGCCTCCAAATGAGGACTCAACAAAGATGACTAATGACAGACATGATTAAACTAATTCAGTAGGTGAAGCTTCAATGGAAGCCCCAAAGCCCAGGTACAGCCTTGGGCCCTGGCTCCTCCAGCTCACTCACAGCCTCTTGGTCCTCTCAGCTGAGGAAAACAAACTCGTTAGTTTTGGTTTGTTTTGTTTTGTTTTGACCAGAGGATTCCCTTTCTCCATTGAAAATATTTTTGTCTCTTTCAGCAAACCTTTTCCTTGCTGCTGCCAAGCACCATCTCCCTAATGGGATGCTAAATCCAGTTTCAGTTAATAACCAGCTGCATCCTCATCCCTCACCTGATCTGCCCCTCAAAGGGTTCCCACTGAACACGCATCAGTCTCTCAGCAGCCGACAATAGCAATGAAGGAGAAAGTCACTGGAATTTCTCTGAGGATCTCTGGAATGTCTGGGGACCTTTGTGAAGGTGTCTGGGGACCTCTCTGAAGAAGGTTCCTTTCCAAGCCCATAACATACCAAAACCTCTGCAGAGAAAAGGGCAAAATTGGGAGTCCCATCCCCACAGCATTGGGAGTGATTAATGGGGCACCCCTGCAGTCCATCTTGCTTTTGTTTAATTATCTTTTTTGTATCTCTCGTGCCTCCCCAGACCCCAGCATGCAGGGATGGTTTGATGGATTATTTATGATACCCGGGTCAACACGTCCAAGTGTTGCTGCCTCATGATTTGATGCTCTGCAGAGGCCAATAGAGATGCCTTGTGTTATTAATTATGCCAATACATTTTCCTGAGCAGTGTGATTAATTGGGCTGTGCAGGCAGGGCCGTGGGCCTGTGCTGAGGCTGGTTGTTCTCAGGTGGAGGTGGCTGGAAGGGAGAGCAGGCAGCAAAATCTGCACTTGGTGTCAGTCCTTCTCCTCAGAGCATTCGGGGGAGATACAATTTCTGACATTGCATTCTGCATGCCAGGGAGCCACGGGGCTGCAGGGAGTGCCTCTGGCTGGGCAGCTGCTCCAGGGGCATGGGCAGTGCCAGAGGGACCACAGGATGGCACCCAGCCCCTCGTGTTTGGCACTGCAGGGGTGGATCACACTTACAGTGCAGAGACTGATCTGTTCTCACTGAACTTCTGAAAGTGGATCCACAAAGTTGTTCCTGTAACCCAGCCCATTTTCTCCTGCAAGCTCAGAGTGCAGAGTCTGTGCTGCGCTGAGCAGTCAGGGTACAGCACCCACAGGGGCACAGGAGGGCTGGGCCCATCCCAGGTGGGATCCTGATAACTACTGCCAGTCTGCAGGGTGGACACAGAGCACAGTGTGAAAATAGTCATAGAAAACCTTTTTTTTTGGCAGAAGCCTCCTCAGCTTGCCAAGCACATTTCCTGTGTCAGGGCCTCAGCCTCCCTGGCAGCCTGAGCTGTGCCCCCGGTGCCACGGCCAGCAGCAGGGCCTGGGCAGGGTGTGGTGCCCAGCATCCCCTGAGCCTGGCACACGTGGTGCTGCCTGCAGAGCCCAGCTGTGCTTGGGGATGGTCCTGTCCCTGTCCCTGCTGCCCCCACTGCAGGGGAGCTGAGCCCTCTCTGTCTTTTGTCTCCAAAAAGGTCACAGAAGAGCCGTCACCCTCTAAGTGCCAAGACGAGTGTCCCACCCTCCGGTGCCAGACGACTGGGAACAGTAAGGCAGCTGCTCACTCTTCCCCATGGTTGCTCTGTGCTTGCATGTGCGCTGGGTTTACTCTGCCTTTTTTGCCCTCCTTGTCATGAGTGTGATTTTGATGGTTTGTGTCTTCCACGCCACTCAGGCCTGGCAGTCACACAAATCCCTGTGCTGGCGGTGGGAGCTGCCCTGTCCTCCCACTGATCTCACAGACCCTGAGCTGCAATTTCCCCATCACCAGGTTATCCCTGGGGCAGGAAGAGCAGAACTAGGGCTGAGGGCAGTCCTGGCTTCCCCAGCATCAGAACCCCCCTGAGTGCACCCAGCAGCCCTTTGGGCTGTCAGAAGCTCCAGCCACAGTGAGAAATCCTTCAGGAAAGGAGCTGCTGCTGCAGGGACTGGGAGCTGTCAGGGATTTATGTGCTCTGGGCAGCAGGAGCTCCCTGTGCCGTACCTGGGGAAGCACCGTGCACACCGTGACCGCTGCCAATTTCACAGCGCTGTGAGCTCGCCCTGCTGAGCTGGGGACATGGAAAATGTCTTTGTTAAGGAAAGTCCCAGGCCCCTGACTGGGAGCTAAATGTTGCTTTAATGTGTGCGGGGAGGGAGCCACGGTGGCTGTACACGGGCTGTGCACGGCTGTGGCACACAGACCCCGGTGTGTGGTACAGGGACACAGCATGCCCACCTGTGTGCGGTACAGGGACACCCTGTGCCCACCTGTGTGTGGTACAGGTACACTGCGTGCCCACCTGTGTGTGGTACAGGGACACCGCGTGCCCACCTGTGTGCGGTACAGGGACACCCTGTGCCCACCTGTGTGTGGTACAGGGACACGGCGTGCCCACCCGTGTG